AAAATTATTAATATACATTTGTAAAGTTCATCAGTCATTTATGGTGAATAAAATCATTATTTTTTCTTTCACAAACGCAAAAAAAAACAAACAAATAATTCATAAACATTAATGCATAATAAATTTTAACCAGAGAATGTACTTACAGTCCATTAATCAATTTTTACACAATCTTTAAAAACAAACAATGAATGTGATTCACTTACTACTATTTTCTTGAATTACTTTTTCCCCTCCCTTTTTTTCCTTGGAATTTCTGCTTTTTATTGTGTACTGAATGAAATATTGTGCAGATTTGGAATCAACTCTCACAGCAACCCTGTTAGCATTGATCTTAGAATATACCAGTACAATAAGCATACACGACTAGGGGAATCCAACGCTATTAAATCCAATGCAATGAAATTTAAAGATTAAAGACTTTTCAGAAAGGTTCTGAAAATTACAACAGTATAAAACATTTTCAAACAAAACTGAAATGAAATAATAAGGACCGTAGGTCCAAATTGTCCCATGGAACCTGTCCCGAATTAATGGCAACCCACAAACCCAAAATGTAATTACGAAGAAAGATCATCATAAAAAATAATAAATAATTATGGTAAAAGAAAAGTGTAATAAATATAAAACTTACTCTTCAGAGGGTTTCACAGGAGGAACAAATTTATTCATAACATTACGTCTTGTAGACCCCAATGACTTCTTTGGTGCACCATAATCATGTCCACTTGGATTTCTTGATCCCCATTTTTTCTGGTTTTGAACAATCTACAAAGAATAATGTGATGTAATATAAAAGAAGAAGCATTAAAGTAAAATAGTTTATTTTTGTTTAAGTATCCTTTGGTTTGTAGACAAAAAAATATTACATTTGTAACGTACACATTTCAGTCATGCAGTCACCTCAAAGAGATTTTTTACGTCTCTTAATTGTTATCTAATTTCTGACAATTGTTTCCTTATAAATACACATGTACGTGAATTAGGAGGGTAAGCTTCAGAGACAGAGAAAAAGAAAGCATAGAAAGCAACGGAAGTGTTGATTTAGTTTTGTCAAGTTTTGTGTCGAGGTCAACCGCTTCTCTAGGCAACTTTAGCAGGTAGAATTGTCTTCATTGGGCATCAAGAGGTGAATTGTGAATGTGCTAGAGTTCAAAAGTATATTTTCAATAAAATGATTATTTAAACAGTGGCAAGTTTTTGAAGGTTTCAAAAAAGCAACCAAAATTTTTTCAAGTCACTTATCTGGTCAAATTTGCATTTTCTTTAAGGGTCATAAATGCTTGCATATTTCTAACATTTTTAGTTCACAAACATCTGACCCTTAATTATAAGAAAAGTTATTTGATGGAGGTTTACAAGCACATCCAGGAGTTTTTGAATTAGTTCTTTGCATTGCCTACAAACCAGAGGATACTTAACAATAATATATGGTCAAGACTACCAATATTGATTGCATATAACAACAAAAATTTCAAGATTAAATAGAATAAATCAATATTTTTAATTTATTTTTGAAATAATTTGTCTTACCAATTCCTCTCTTGCTGTGGAAAATCCATTTGATTGTTTCTGATATTTTATTTCATTTGCAGAATGAGATGGAGTGTTAATGGTGTTTTGTACTTGAGTATCATGGTGACGTACAGTATTATAATTAATGTTGTTTGATGGAGAAGGTTTCCAAGACCTTCCAGCCGATGTTTTTGAATTCCACAAACTTGTTTTCCCACTAACTTCTGGATGATTTCTAAAAGAATTTTGAACTTCTGGAAGGTTTTGAAAATTTTCTGGAATGTTTCTGGTTACTGGCGGGTTTTGGAAGATTTCTGAAGGGTTTTTAACAGAATTGAAACCATTTCGAAGAGAATTGCTGATTGTGACATTTGAGAATAAATTTACTCTCTTATCTTCTTCATTCTTCATACTAAGTTTCTTGGGAAAAACTTGTTCTTTTTCACACTCCATGTCAATGTCTAGTAAAAAAGTAAATCAAATAATTACAATACAATATAAATATAATAATCATATAAATATATCATAAAAAACTATTTTAAACCTACTTTATCATATTTTAATAGTATTTCATTGACAGTTGTTTTTTTCCATTCACAATGAATTTTTATAAATTTGTAATTTTGTTTTTTCTATAGCAGGTCATATCGTTTTTACTGTTTGGACAATATATTTTTAATGTAAGAATTAATCTTCAATCACTTACAAAAACAATATACAACAATAACTACAACCACAGTATTATATAAAATGAAACTAAAAATCAACAAAAATCAACTTACCTTTGCGCTTTCTCAAAATTGTTGGTTCACTTTCAATGACTTTGGATCCCATAGAGGTAGATGGAATTTTAACGGAAGCATCTTTATCTTCAAATGAACATGCTTGCACTAAAAATTCAATATCTTCTTCAGCCACATCATGAGAATTACAGTGGATAACTTCATTGCTTGATTCAATGCTTAATGAACTCTTCCACATATTACATTCTGATGAAACAAAAATGAAGTCAATTCTTCACAATATGATATAATATTTCAGTATTTGCATTCTTTCTTGGATGCTTTAAGGAGATATGCAATCGGTATATACTTTTAGAAATAACAGAAGCTTAACAATTAAAAATATTCAAATAAAGTTCTATTGCATGCTAAGAAATATCATTTTTAAATAAATGATAAGCAAAGTATTTTCAACAACAAATTCTTTTAAAGAAATGATATGTTTTTAAAGTCACTCTCGCTCGAAGTCATCAACGCCTTCACCCTGCATTTCAAGAAAACACGTATCCCGATGCATGTACTCACCAGGTTGACTAAATGAAAGAAGAGATTGTATTGCCTCTGCATAGTTATTTATATCATTCTGGTCATCAACAACATCTAAATATGATTTTAGATTTCTTTCATACAAAAGACATGTTGTCATATTATTTGACCTGAATGAATAAAACAAAATATTAGACAATAAAACTCTGCATATTTGATTATTTGAATTTGGGTTGTAAAACACAAGTTATTAACTTACAAAGGAATTGAAGCCTTGAACATTTGTGCCATACACTTTCGCCGAATACTGGCTAGCTGGTACGAATCAGCATCCTGTTCATTAAATAAAAGTTTCTGGTAATAAAACAGAAAATTTTCTTCGTGAGAACTGTCCATGTTTGCAATAGGCCACTGCAGTTTCCACCACAATCAGTACACAAAGAAAGTGACGCACATTAAGCTGCCAGATGAAACTCAAAATACGCTACGAAGCAGTTTCATCTCTTCACCGAGTTAACCTTTACCGCCTCATTGTATAAAAACGCATCGATCATTCAGTCTCACAAACTTATTTTATTTCATGACTATTTTAGAAAATTCGCATCTTCCGTAGAATATGGCAAATTCGTACCTGGCTACTGCATTCGCAACTTACATCTGAAGTCGAACTTTACTAATTTCTTGCAGGGTAAAAATAACAAAGCTTTCTTAAGTACATGGCTGTGGACCATACTATATTGCCGCAAATAATGTTTTTTGTGGCTTTTTTTTCTGTAATTTTATTGCAAAATTTCCTTTTTTATATACATTTATATTTATAACAACTAAATTCAAAAAGAAATTCAAGGAAGTACGTAATAATTTGTGAACGGGAGAAACTGACTTGGTGAGTCATTTGTGTAAGTTTTACACATTGTGCTGTCAACAAATAAAACACGAGAAACCTTGCCGAGAAACATGACTTGTATAAACAAAAGAGTTCACTCGTTAACATCCCAAAATGGCGACCTATTTAATTGTTGCACTTATCCAGTCCCCATAATGTATCCTGTCAGGCAATTGTGTTTCATTCATCCAATTGTTTGCATGTAAAACACTTCAAAGAAAAGGAAAAGCACTTGCAATGCCAAGAACAATAAATTATTTTTTGTGAAGTTAATTGTTGTTTCATTATTTTAGGTTTTTTGCATGGTTTATACTGCCCAAATCCTACTTCCTCCGTAAGTGCATTATCAACATTTAATGTATTTCTGATGGCTCATTCATTCTGCAATGATATTAAATTTATTTATTCATATAAACCTACACATTACTGATATTCAATTGGTTGAGAATTTTTAAAACTACAAAACTGAGTAAATGCTAGTCTAAAACATTTTAATCTCCTGCATTGCAACTCCTTTGAGGTAGGGGACTCATCCCCGTCCACTCATCTGGAAAATGTTTTGAACTATTGGAGAAATTGCATGAGAATTTTAAATGTTGATCAATTTGGAAGTAAAAATGGTATGAAGAACAGTTGTACGTCACTGTTCTTCCTACAGTATGAGGAAGTTTTCAACAATTCTAATAGAAGCTTTTGTGAATAAAAACCAAAGTATGCTTTAAACAAAATTTATTCCTGATCACTTATTTAATATAGGCTTACTTGAATATTGTTTTTTAATAGTACATTATTAATAATCAGGGAGAGGATTTTTATGCCCCCAAAAAATCCTGAAATTTGCACTTTCATATCCCCAATTAAAATTAACATATTTTATTTCCTGTATAAATCTTTTGTGTAAAATTCAGAATGCATGCTTGAAATGAATTTTTTGTGCAAACAATAATAAATCACCTACTTTGGCCAGAGAAATAATTAAAATAAATATTCACCTTCGTCAAGTACATTGTTTGTTTCCGACTGGTTTAAAAATATTATTTAAAGAAAATCTTATTTGCACATATTTTTCATCTTAGAAAACAAAAAATGTAAATGTGACAAGTTCTTCTGAATCAATGAATGCTTGGCAAATATATAGATTCTATGAAAAGATGAAACTTTTTATAGATAAGTCTATTTAACAAATAATGGTTAAATATACACCTATTATTATACGACATGCATCAGGAGGCAACAGCTATAAGCTCCTTGTGTGTCTCCCAACAGCAGAGATAGACAGTGCATCACATGTAAGGGAAGATCGCATGCAGTCCATGGACCTATTTTGTTAGGATATTTCCCTGGGATACACTTATAGTCTAGAGAAGAAATACTATAGAAGAATATCAATCAAAGCAGCTTGCCACTAGGATTCCCCAGTAGTGAAGAATTCGGCCAAGTTAATGTTGAAATTGTGCCACTCAGCAACTTGAACCAACGAAGTTTTGTTTTATTTGAAATAATTTTTAAAAAAAATCATTTCAAAGCTCTTTAAGTTTGTTATGTGAGGGACAATGAGGTGTAATACTCATTTTAATTTTTCATTGGTTAAATCTTTAAGTATTTTGAGCCCCTAGTGGAAATGAACTAACATGGGCAAACCACAGCCATGTCATTTATGTATTACCCTTCGTGTTTGGGTAATAAAGTATGCATTTAACTGTTAAGTTTATTTTGTACTTATGTTCTTTTTGTGTGATTTACTTTATGGTGTTTTTTTTTTGTGATTAAATTGAGAGCATTGTAAACTAGCAAATTAAGTTTGTATTTTTGTTGTGCTTACTTTATATTGTTCATGTTTTGTTTTTTTTACCTGAGTGAAGGGCCGGATTTACCTACAAGCAAAACAAGCAGTTTCTTGGGGGCCCCATTCACCGGGGTCCCGCGTTTCGGAAAAATCCGCATACCATATTTTTTTGTCTGTGAAATAATTGTTAATCAAGTAGTCTACTGTGTAACAAAATGTACAACTTCAACACATTTTTTAAAAATTTTATTACATGTTAAATTAGTCTTAAATATTAACCATACTTTATTTCCTTTACTTCCTGACATCAATCGACCAATTTTCTTGAGTGAGAGGCAGAAAAAAAATTATGTAAAATGTATTTAATGTAAAAAAAATGTAACACAAGCAAAAATTTTCATTTCAATTTTCATTTGTATCTGTACAGAAAGTACTTGTACTATAATACATTTTTTATTTAATAAAGATGGAGCTATTTTTCAGGGGGGGGGGGACAAAACAATTTTGTGCTTGGGGACCCGCACTACTAAAATCC